TTATTCTTAAAGGAAAGGAGAACAATCCAAAAAGAAATGGAGGAGACCTGATGGCAGGGCCCTTACAGCACATTGTTTTAGGTATTTTCCAGATAAGCGCACTGGAGTTTCCTAAGTAGGGGAAATAAACAACCACGTGTAACACCACAAGGCAGTTCTGTTTGCTCTTTTTTCTGTTGGCTTTCTTCAGGGTCTCCAGCTCCATCCCCCATATGGCGTTGGGCTGCTCTGAGCCTGCTCCCTCTTTGTCTGCTGCTGGTGATTGGGCTGGTGACTTTGGGGGTCGTGTGTAAGTATATTTGCATCAAACCCAAGAAAAATGATTAGGGAACACATGTGTAAACTATGTAAATTCAGGTTAGATGATATGATAGGTGCTGCATCCTGAATACTCTAATATTTTTTGCCACTTCCTATCTCTCTCATTCTCCATGTCTCCAAGGTAAACCAGCAAAAAACATGCTTTAATATTATAAGAATTTTGTCCTAAATCCATTACTTTCTCTTGATAAGCTAGACTAGACACTGAAGACAACTTTTATTTTTCCCATTATTGGTTGCAATGAGGAGCCTCTTTTCTACATAGACTCACATCCACTTATCCCAATTGTAAGAAACAAGGAGCCAAGGAGATTGGCTTCAAGGAAGAGTGTGCCATTTCATTTGCTGCTAAGACTGTACAAGACTGGCTTAATCAGTCACCCAAGATGTCTCTACAATAGTGTAGAGAAAACTTCTAAGCAGCAGCAATGACCGGACTGCTTTGCATGAAAAAAGAGATACAAACAAGGAGGAAGAGTAGCCTGATATATCTTATCCAGTAGATAGGAAGTTAAACCACCTCCACATAACAATGGAAGCTCCACTCCTGAGCACAATTGCTAAAAAAGAGTATTCCCTTGATCCTGGCCCATCACTAGACAGTCTGGGGTGGATGGGGTAGGGAGTGCTGAACTAACAAGTGCAAAAATATCCTAAGAATACACACTATATAAGATGTTGTTATGTTTGTGACATAGAGAGTAGTGAATTGGCACAGTATTCACTTTCAGGGAATTTGGGGTCAAGAAAGTTTACTTGCTAAATGATATTAACACCTCCTCTGCTACTTTCATTTCTTTTTATATATGTAAAATCTCATGGATAATTAGGATTTAGACATACCTATTTGGACATATAAATAGAGGCTGATGTGATATAGCTTAATCTCTTGAAAAATATAATATTCTAGCAGCAGTATCAGATATTCAGTAGTCAATCATTATGAAGATTAGCAGTTGATCTACAATGATGTATATATTTTTAAATGAAGATGAAATAGGTATTCACTGGTTCACCATAGAAGGGTGAATGTTTTTTATCCTAAAGTGCAGTGCTTTGAGTGCAATGGTGCTTAAATTTATTCTGCTGATGAGTGACCTATAGTACTTACTAAAAATGCAGACTTTATGGATCTAAGACCAGAAATGGTCAAGTGTAACATTAAAATCTGACTTAAAAAAATATATATCCCAGGTAACTTTGATGCAGGTAGTCTGCAGACCATAGTTTGAGATACCTGGTGCACCCAAGGATTCTGTTCCTATTCAGTTACATAAACTAACTCCGAATAGAAAAATGAAAAAATTTTCACCAAATGGATGGCAAAATGACTGACACTGCCTTAATGAAATGTCAGAGATATACAATTTTAAATTCATTATTTTAATACAAGTATAATCATAATTAAAATATAAATAAAACCCTAAGGATGAGCTCTAAATAAATTGGAGTAGAAAGGCATCTGGTGTGTTTCTTCTGTGATATCTCCATTATTAGAAGTTACTAATAAATCTTAAACAATGTAAGAAATAATTCTGTGTTAAGAGAACTACCTATGGCTATCATGAGAATGGAAGGATATATGAACTTGTCTCCTGTTATGTCTTGGAGTTTTGCAGACATCTAATGAAATTAATTCAGATTCAGAGAAATTGAGTCAACTTCAGAAAATCATCCATCAGCAGCAGAATAACTTTTCCCAGCAGCTGAACAACTACAGGAACTTTCCCATGGAGGAGGAATTTCTCAAAGCCCAGATCTCCAATCTGTTGATGACTCAGGGACAAATAGCCATCAAACTCTGCCGAGAGTTAATCATTCACACTTCAGGTAATCAGGACCTGCTGACCAGTCAGAACAAATCTGTTGCCCGGAATTAGGTTACTTATGTGCACCACCTGGCAGTATCAGAGAGTTATGCTATCCAATGACCCCTAATGATGTCACACTAATTTTATGGAAGACAAGGAAAGATATAAATTCATTTAATATTTTTGAAAACACAGAGATCAAATTTGGGGAGATCATAGAATGATATCAATCTGGATACTTCAGCCTTTCACTTTATGATCTATTTTTAGAACATCTTGTTGTTACAAGAAGTTAAAAGTATAGCTGGTAATTCTGAGGCCAGAAGACTAAGCCCTGAAATGAGAATTTCAATCACCATTATCCCAACTCATAACTGGGGTGACTTCATATTCAGAGGCTCCTAGAGCATATGTTTTCAGGGTGCTGGGTCTCAGACCCTATCATCAAATTAAATGATTTAGTTTCCTGAACCTTCCCCAATCACTCCAAAGTTGTTTAGTTTGTATTATTGGGTTTAATTTCTTTTTCAGACCACAGATGTAATCCTTGTCCTAAGACGTGGCAATGGTACCAAAAGAGCTGCTATTATTTTGCAACAAATGAGGAGAAAACCTGGAGTAATAGTAGAAAAAACTGCATGGACAAGAACTCCACCTTGGTGAAGATAGACAGCTTGGAAGAAAAGGTCTGGCTGAACCTCCTTCTCTGGTCATAGACATTATGCACATAATGGAAAGTAAATAAATGGAATTTCTGATTCACATCGTAGGAATTCAGTGCCTTTTGAATGAGAATTAATTAATTGAATTAATGAATGTTCCCATCTATCTTACTTCTGCACACTAGCATGTGGCTCTCACATAACATTTTTCCTGTATTTTTCTCTCAGGATTTTCTGAAGTCACAGCCATTCCCCAAGTTTTCCTTCTTTTGGTTGGGATTATCATGGGACCCATCTGGCAGAAGTTGGCTATGGGAGGATGGCTCTGTCCCCTCTCCATTCTTGTAAGTCTCTAGCTACTTGGGGAAATCCAAGCTACCAACATTAAGAAATGGAATATTGAGAAAATAAATGTTCTGATTTGCAATTCCCTAATAATTAGTGATGTTGAACATCTTTTCATTAGCCTGTTGACCATCTACGTGTCTGCCTTTGGAAAATGTCTATTCAGATCCTCTGCTCATTTATTAATTTTGGTG